GTCGCCAGGACCAAAACCAGAGAAGGTTGGACCTGCATTGCCACCGTTCGTCCATTATCCAGAACTGAAATATCATTGTTGACATATACACATAAGGAACTTTTGGACATTGAAATTGGGATTCAAAGAACTGTTGGCTCAGAAAGAAACTACTGCAGGCTAATTCCTTTAATGTCTGACAGCAATTTAAAGGGACTTGATAGAACTCTGTCCTTTCCATTGAATTTAAAAATCTTAAAACATACATTCTTGTTAAATTTAAAAAATCAAAAAGGGTGAGATGCTAGAAACCAATTCCAGCATGTCAGCAAGGCTGAATCATCTGAAGATGGCTGAGGGCATTTCGCCAAACCTGAAAAGGATGACCGCTTGCTGCCAGACAGCTGAGGGTATTTCAATCTACATGTTATTGCCTCCTATTGGCCAAATACCTGAACAGCCATAGGCAATTTCCCCCAATCTGACAATGGATTGTGTATACCAGCGGTTCTCAACCTGTGGGTTGCCAATCTGTGGGTCGCGACCGCTTTGGGGGTCGAATGACCCTTTCACAGGGGTTCCCGAAGGCCATCGGAAAACACATATATAATTACATACTGTTTTTGTGATTAATCACTATGCTCTAATTATGTTCACTTTGTAACAATGAAAATACATCCTGCATATCAGATATTTACATTACGATTCATAACAGTTCATAAATTACAGTTATGAAGTAGCAACGAAAATAATTTTATGGTTGGGGGTCACCACAATATGAGGAACTGTATTAAAGGGTTGCGGCATTAGGAAGGTTGAGAACCACTGGTGTAAATGAAACCCTGGCCTTTGATGTGTATATCTCCATCTTGCTTAGGACAATTTGTGTTAATAAATAGCAAGGGGTCTTGAGATAAGGAGAACTTGGTTTCTTTAGCCAAGCTTCTCTGACTCCCCATAATGCCTTCCAAAATTATGATTCGTCTCTGGACTATTATTTTACGCACAGCTCTTCTCCAGATTGCTGAAACCTTCTAGATGCTGGATTAAGACCACTGGTGTTACCTGCCTAAATTAGTTAGAATGGGGAGATAAGATTACATCTAATGGCCTGGTCTGGGTGGTGTCAGTGACCTCTTCTCTGGCTAAGCTGTTAAATTCTTGGTTTATGGCCCTTGTAAACTGGGAGTATTTAGGAAAACAGATTATTGCCTAAGGAAGGGGCAGTGACTTAATTATTGGCTAACAAGAATGTGCATTAGGATACTGGTTAACTAAGTACAGGTTGCCCCCTGTATTCTTTCACAATTAAGAAATAAAGATGACAGAGAACCAAGATGGCGGCATAGGTTAACGCCGGAGTTTGCTGCTTTGAACAACTACTTCAAAAGTGAAACCAAAAAACGGAAGGGACATCACCCAGAACCACAGGAACGCTGGCTGAGTGGAAGTCCTACAACTAGGAGGAAAGAGAAACGCATACGGACACTCAGAGGAGGCGCAGTGCTGAAGTCAAATTCTGAGGTGCGGAGTGCGCGGAGCGGGCTAGCGGCAGAGGGCGCGGCTGGTGTTTTCAATCGGGAGGGAGTCGCAGACTCTGAGCTCCAGATCCGGGCGAGTCTTTAGGGACCCAGACTCAAACGGGAGAAGCAGGACTGTCTGGCTTCGGTCAGAGCGAGTGCAGCTTTCTCTCCAAGGTTTGCAGCGGGTGCTGGGACTCAGAGAGGCAGAGCCCCTGGGGACAGGACTGAGAGCCGCCATAACTGCTCTCTCCGGCCCACCCTGTTGACCCTGTGCGACCCGCCCCGCCCAAGCCCTGCACACAGGCATTTGCCGGATAGCCTCAGGCAAAGGCTAGATTAGCACCTCCCTAGAGGACAGAAGTTCTCTCACTGCTGACACAGCTGATTCTCATAGCCACTTGGCCTGGAGGTCAAACCCTCCCTGGAATTAGCTACAACAATCAAGATTTAACTATAAGACTGCGCACAAAGACCACTAGGGGGTGCACCAAGGAAGCATAACAAAATGCGGAGACAAAGAAACAGGACAAAATTGTCAATGGAAGATATAGAGTTCAGAACCACACTTTTAAGGTCTCTCAAGAACTGTTTAGAAGCCGCCGATAAACTTAATGAGATCTACAAGAAAACTAATGAGACCCTCGATCTTATATTGGGGAACCAACTAGAAATTAAGCATACACGGACTGAAATAACGAATATTATACAGACTCCCGACAGCAGACCAGAGGAGCGCAAGAATCAAGTCAATGATTTGAAATGCGAGGAAGCAAAAAACACCCAACCGGAAAAGCAAAATGAAAAAAGAATCCAAAAATGCGAGGATAGTGTAAGGAGCCTCTGGGACAGCTTCAAGCTTACCAACATCCGAATTATAGGAGTGCCAGAGGATGAGAGAGACCAAGATATTGAAAACCTATTTGAAGAAATAATGACAGAAAACTTCCCCTATCTGGTGAAAGAAATGGACTTACAGGTCCAGGAAGCGTGGAGAACCCCAAACAAAAGGAATCCAAAGAGGACCACACCAAGACACATCATAATTAAAATGCCAAGAGCAAAAGATAAAGAGAGAATCTTAAAAACAGCAAGAGAAAGAAACTCAGTTACCTACAAGGGAATACCCATACGACTGTCAGCTGATTTCTCAACAGAAACTTTGCAGGCCAGAAGGGAGTGGCAAGAAACATTCAAAGTGATGAATACCAAGAACCTACAACCAAGATTACTTTATCCAGCAAAGCTATCATTCAGAATTGAAGGTCAGATAAAGAGCTTCACAGATAAGGAAAAGCTAAAGGAGTTCATCACCACCAAACCAGGATTATATGAAATGCTAAAAGGTATCCTTTAAGAAGAGGAAGAGGAAGAAAAAGGTAAAGATACAAATTATGAACAACAAATATGCATCTATCAACAAGTGAATCTAAGAATCAAGTGAATAAATAATCTGATGAACAGAATGAACTGTTGATTATAATAGAATCAGGGACATAGAAAGGGAATGGACTGACTATTCCTTGGGGGGAAAGGGGTGTGGGAGATGCGGGAAGAGACTGGACAAAAATCGTGCACCTATAGATGAGGACAGTGGGTGGGGAGTGAGGGCGGAGGGTGGGGCGGGAACTGGGAGGAGGGGAGTAATGGGGGGAAAAAAAAGAGGAACAAATGTAATAATCTGAACAATAAAGATTTAATTTAAAAAAAAAAAAAAAAGAAATAAAGATGAAACATTTTCCTGGATGTTAAAGACCAAGTCTCCAGATTAAAAGGGTCCACCAATTTCTCAGTATAAAGAATTAAGAAACCCACATGTAGACATATCAATGTGAAATTTCAAAAAACAGGATAAAGAGAATATTCTCAAAGCTTCCAGAGGGGAAGGAGAATAGGGGAAACAAATGCTTTCCAAAGAATACTTTGAATCCATAATTTTATATCCAGCCTGTTAGGTCGCCGAAGGAGGAATGCACAAGGCCAGAATGGTGAGGGATTACAAATTTATTTGATCATCTGCATACCAGGTGGCTGAGCTCCAGCACCCAGTGACAGGAGTCGGCAGCTTTTAAAGGACTTTGGCTGGCTTTTTCTGGGCGGAGAGTTCTTTGTGCATATCCGGAGGGGAGATAATGGGATGTGGTCATAGCAAGTGAAATGTGGTCTTAGCAAAGGGGAATGTCCATAGTGAAATGTCCAAGTTCCCGGGGGAGGGGTATTGATTCAATTCTTTGATCAGACCTAACATTCCAGCCTTTTTGTTTTATGGAATAGGACGAAAGTCATGTCATCCGTAGTTACTTCCTGATGAGAGGGGACATTGAGATTATAGGGGGATGGATGGACGTTGATAGTAGTGGGCTGGACAAGTTGTCATAGCAGCATGATTTCCCCAAGAGACTGGTTGGTGAAGGCTCAAAAACGGTCCTGTTGAGTGACTTGGGAGGTAAAAGCTGGTCCTGAGGCTACCACAGCGTCACTTGTCTAGTTTCGCTGCTTTTCTGGGCCTGGAGCTAAAATACAACTGAGACCTGGATGTTATCTTTAGGGAGGAAAAGATTAGGAGTGTTAGTTGCCTGACTAGCTATTTGCTAGGGTTACTACTATTTTTTTTTTTTCATTTTCATTTATTTCTTCTTCTTTTTTTAAAACTTTTTATTAAGGTATTACAAATGTGTCTTTATCCCCCCTTTGTCTCCTCATCCCCCCAGTCTTGCCCTCACCATCCCTTATGCTTATATGCATGCATGCAAGTCCTTTGGTTGATCTCTCCTCCTTACCCCCACCCTCCCCTACCTTCACTCTGAGGTTTGAGCATCTGACCCATGCTTCTCTGTCTCTAAATCTGTTTTTGTTCATCAGTTTTATAGTCCACAAATGAGTGAGATCATGTGATATTTATCTTTCTCTGACTGACTTATTTCACTTAGCATAATGCTCTCCAGCTCCATCCATGCTGTTGAAAATGGTAGGAGTTTCTTCCTTTTTACTGTGGCATAGTATTCCATTGCATAGATGTGCCAAAGTTTTTTAATCCACTCATCTGCTGATGGGCACTTAGGCTGATTCCAAATCTTAGCTATTGTAAATTGTGCTGCTATAAACATAGGGGTGCATATATCCTTTCTGATGGGTGTTTCTGGTTTCTTGGGATATATTCCTAGAAGTGGGATCACTGGGTCAAATGGAAGTTCCATTTTTAGTTTTTTGAGGAAACTCCATACTGTTCTCCACAGTGGCTGCACCAGTCTGCATTCCCACCAGCAGTGCAAGAGGGTTCCTTTTTCTCCGTATTCTCGCCAGCATTTGTCATTTGTTGATTTGTTGATGATAGCCATTCTGACAGGTGTGAGATGTTACCTCATTGTCGTTTTGATTTGCATCTCTCGGATGATTAGTGACTCTGAGCATGTTTTCAGATGTCTCTTGGCCTTCCTTATGTCTTCTTTCGAAAAGTATCTATTTAGATCCGTTGCCCATTTTTTTTTTTTTTGTCATTTCAAGGGACCTACAACTTCATTTCCTCTGTAGAATTACCTTGTGTGCTTAGGGGACACAAAACTTGTTGAAGCCACTTCCTACAGTCTCCAGTTAGGTCCTAATAAGGAGATTGGTCGTAGCTCTGTCACTTGCCAATGTTTGCTTTAACAGTCTGCCTTCACCGTGCAGCACTGTCCAGTGTCCATTCTCTGAGTCAAAGCAGAGAGATATCTGTCCATCCAGTCCAAACTCCCAGGATGCAGTGGTGAGTACATTGGATTCCTGCTCACACATCATGCTGCCCTGCAGGGAGAGAGGACCGCTGGTTGCAGGAATCTCTGCTTTAATGTCCAGCAGGGTCTTCTTGAGCTCTTCCACCACGTATTGCAAAGCGTCTCTCTGTTCACTCCAGGCCTGTGTGGCATTCATCTCCAGAACACTGATGAGTCTGACCTTGTCGCCACCACAGGTATAATGAAGAAATGTGTTCCCATTGACCTGGCCTTGAATTTCACACCATGGTTGTCCATTAGGAGTGACTGTGAATTTGTAGCTGAGAGAGTGCACCGCTGCTCCCCATCGAGCTCCAAGGCAGACGCAGCTCCCTCCGCCTGTGACCTTCAGGCCTCCTCACTTCCAACTCTCCCATTTCCCATTTTTTGATTGGGTTGTTTGTCTTCCTTTTGTTAAGTTGCATGAGTTCCCTGTAAATGCTGGAGATTAAACCCTTATCGGAGATATTGTTGGCAAATGTGTTCTCCCATGCAGTGGATTTTCTTGTTGTTTTGTTGATGATTTCTTTCGCTGTGCAGAAGCTTTTTATTTTGATGTAGTCCCATTTGTTTATTTTCCCTTTAGTTTCCATTGCCCTAGGAGCTGTGTCAGTGAAGATATTGCTTCAGCACATATCTGAGATCTTGCTGCCTGTGGATTCCTCTAATATTTTTATGGTTTCCCGTCTTACATTTAAGTCCTTTATCCATTTTGAGTTTATTTTTGTGTATGGTATAAGTTGGTGGTCTAGCTTCGTTTTTTTGCATGTGTCTGACCAAGTTTCCCAGCACCACTTATTGAAGAGACTGTCTTGACTCCATTGTATGTTCTTGCCTCCTTTGTCAAATATTAATTGAGCATAGTGGTTTGGGTCAATTTCTGGGTTCTCTATTCTATTCCCTTGATCTATAGGTCTGTTCTTGTGCCAGTACCAGGCAGTTTTGAGAACAGTGGTTTTGTAATACATCTTGATATCTGGCATTGAGATCCCTCCTACTTTGTTCTCCTTTCTCAGGATCACTGCAGCTATTCGGGGTCTTTTTTTTTTTTTTTTTTTTTTTTTTATTCCAGATGAATTTTTGGAGAGTTCTTTCTAGATCTGTGAAGTATGCCATTGGTATTTTAATGGGGAGTGCATTGAATTTATAGATTGCTTTGGGTAGTATGGACATTTTAATGATGTTGATTCTACCAATCCATGAACACGGTATGTTCTTCTATCTGTTTATGTCTTCCTCTATCTCTTTTTTCAACGTGTTGTAGTTTTCTGAGTACAGGTCTTTTACCTCCTTAGTTAAGTTTATTCCTAGGTATCTTAATTTTTTTGTGCAATGGTAAATGGGATTGCTTTTGTAATTTCTCTTTCTGTAAATTCACTATTGGTGTATAAAAATGCCATAGATTTCTTGGCATTGATTTTGTATCCTGCTACATTGCCAAATTCGTTTATTAAGTCTAGCAATTTTTTGATAGAGTCTTTAGGGTTTTCTATGTACAGTATCATGTCATCTGCGAATAAGGACAATTTTACTTCTTCTTTTCCAATTTGGATGCCTTTTATTTCTTCTTCTTGTCTGATCACTATGGCTAGTACTTCTAGTACTATGTTGAACAGGAGCGGTGAAAGCGGGCATCCCTGTCTTGTTCCTGTTCTTAAGAGAAATGGTTTTAGTTTTTGCCCATTGAGTATGATGTTGGCTGTATGTTTGTCATATAAGGCTTTCATTATGTTGAGGTATGATCCTTCTATTCCCATTTTGCTGAGTGTTTTTATCAGAAAAGGATGCTGGACTTTGCCAAATACCTTTTCTGCATCAATTGATATGATTATGTGATTTTTGTCTCTCAATTTGTTTATGTGATGTATCACGTTTATTGATTTGCGGATATTGTACCAGCCTTGCATCCCAGGAATAAATCCCACTTGGTCATGGTGTATAATTTTTCTAATGTAATGCTGGATCTGGTTTGCTAGAATTTTGTTGAGGATTTTAGCATCTATGTTCATCAGGGATATTGGCCTGTAATTCTCTTTCTTTGTGGTGTCTTTATCTGGTTTTGGGATTAGGGTAATGCTGGCTTCATAGAAAGAGCTTGGAAATGTGCCTACCTCTTGAATTTTTTGGAATAGTCTGAGAAGGATTGGTTTTAGTTCTTCTTTGAATGTTCGGTAAAACTCTCCTGTGAAGCCATCTGGTCCAGGGCTTTTGTTTGCTGGAAGTGTTTTGATTACTGTTTCAATTTCATCAGTAGTTATCGGCCTACTCAGGTTTTTTTATTCTTCCTAATTGAGTTTTGAAGCTTATATTTTTCTAGGAATGTGTCCATTTCATCAAGATTGTCCAGTTTTTTGGAGTAGAGTTGTTCATAGTATTTTTTTTACAATCCTTTGTATATCAGTGGGGTCAGTTGTTACTTCACCTCTTTCATTTCTGATTTTGTCTATTTGGGTCCTCTCTCTTTGTTTCTTGGTGAGCCTGGCGAGAGGTTCATCAATCTTGTTTATCCTTTCAAAGAACCAGCTCTTGGTTTCATTGATCTTTTGTATTGTTTTTTTGGTCTCTATGTTGTTTATATCTGCTCTGGTCTTTATTATTTCCTTCCTTCTGGATACTGTGGGCTTTTCTTGTTGCTCTAATTCTTTAAGTTGCAAGGTTAGATTATTTATTACCAGTTTTTCTTGTTTTTTGAGGTCGGCCTGTAGAGCTATGAACTTCCCTCTCAGGACTGCTTTCATTGTGTCCCATAGATTTTGGATTGTTGTGTTTTCATTGTCATTTGTTTCCAGGATGCTTTTTATTTCTTCTTTGATCTCTTTGGTAACCCAATCATTGTTTAATAGCATGTTATTTAGCCTTCGAGTGTTTGATTTTTTTCATTGTTTTTATTGTAGTTGATTTCCAGTTTTATGCCATTGTGATCTGAGAAGATGCTTGTTATGATTTCTATCCTCTTGAATTTGAAGAGACTGCCTGTGTCCTAATATGTGGTCTATCTTTGAAATGTCCCGTGTGCACTGGAGAAGAATGTATATTCTGTAGCTTTGGGGTGAAATGTTCTGAATATGTCAATTAAGTCCATCTGATCTAGTGAGTCATTTAGGATTGCTGTTTCTTTGCTGCTTTTTTGTTTAGAGGATTTATCCAGTGGTGTCAGTGGGGTATTAAAGTCCGCTACTATGACTGTATTGCTATCGATCTCTCCCTTGATATCTTCCAGAAGTTGTTTTATGTATTTGGGTGCTTCTGTATTGGGTGCATATATGTTTACCAGAGTTATATCTTCTTGTTGAATTGCTCCCTTTAGTATTATGTAGTGGCCTTCCTTATCTCTTGTTATGGCCTTTACTTTGAGGTCTATTTTGTCAGATATAAGTATTGCAACACCAGCTTTTTTCTCATTTCTATTTGCCTGAAAAAATTTTTTCCATCCCTTCACTCTCAGTCTGTGTGAATCCTTTGTTCTGAGGTGGGTCTCTTGCAGACAGCAAATATATGGGTCATGTTTTCTTATCCATTCAGCTACCCTATGTCTTTTGATTGATGCATTTAATCCATTTACATTTAATGTTATTATTGATAAGTACTTGTTTATTGTCATTTTTATTCTTAATGTTTGTGTTTCTTCTAGCCTTTCTGTTTCTTCTTTTTACAGCAGTCCCTTTAGCATTTCTTGCATTGCTGGCTTGGTAGTAATAAACTCTCTTAGGCCTTTTTTGTCTGTGAAGCTCCTGATTCCACCTTCAATTTTGAATGATAGCCTTGCTGGGTATAGTATTCTTGGATTCAGTCCCTTGCTTTGCATCACTTTGTATATTTCATTCCATTCCCTTCTGGCCTGGTGTGTTTCTGTTGAAAAATCAGTTGATATTCTAATAGGAGCTCCCTTGTAAGTAACTTTCTGTCTCTCTCTGGCAGCCTTTAAGATTCTTACTTTGTCGTTGGTGTTTGCCAATTTAATTATGATGTGTCTTGGTGTTGGTCTTTTGGGGTTCATCTTGTTTGGGACTCTATGTGCTTCTTGGACTTGCATAGTTTTTTCCTTGCCAATACCAGGGAAGTTTTCTGTCATTATTTCTTCAAACAGGTTTTCTATTCCTTGCTTCTCTTCCTCTCCTTCTGGTACCCCTATTATACGAATATTGTTTCATTTTGTGTTGTCCCAAAGCTCCCTTAGGCTCTCCTCTTGCTTTTTAAATCTTCTTTCCAATTGCTGCTGCGTTTGTGTGTATTTTACTACCTTGTCTTCTAATTCACTGATGCAGTCCTCAGCCTCTTGTAGTCTACTGTTTAAGCCTTCCATTGTGTTCTTCATTGCAACTATGTCATTCTTCATCTCCTCTTGGTTCTTTTTCATGTTGGTGACATTCTCATTCAGCTCCTTATAATTCTCATTGAGTTGTGTGTATTTGTTATCCAGCCATTTGAGCATCCTTATAACCATTACTCTGAATTCTTTCTCTGATAAGTTGCTAGCCTCAGTTTCATTTAACTCCCTTTCTGGTGATCTTCTTTTTCTTTCCTTTGGGGATTGCTTTTTTGCCTCCCCATGTTTTGCTGTAATGTTTTAATTGTAGATCTGATTGCTTTGCTACCCAGGTTCTTTTGGGGATGGTGCTACTGGTGTGATCTCTCAGGTCTCCTGGGCTTGGTAATCTAGCTTAGCTCCCTACTTGAGCTATTTGGGTTCTCTTGGTGTAGGCCTGTGAGCTGGAAATGCACAACTGCGGTGTCTAGAAGTCTGCAGCAGCCGTGGAGGGGGGTGTCCCAATTTTTGCTATCTTATGACCTTGAAGTCATGCGTGCCCAGAGGGGACTCACAGTGGCACTGGAAAAGCACACAACTGTAATGTCCAGAGTTCTGCAGCTGAGGGGTGGGAAGACTCAGTTTTTGCTGCTGCACCTGTGGTGGATAGGCATGCGCTCCCAGTGGTGGCTCACAGGGGCACCAGTGGTGCGTTTTCCAGCGTGGCTTACTGAAGCACTTTGAAGGGCCCTGGCACTGAAGCCACATAATTGAGGTATCTGTGGGCAGGTATCCAGAGTGATTGAATTCAGAATATCTACTGCCAGGGGGAGTGTGTCACTGTTTGTTCAAGATCGCACCTAGCCAGGGCTCGCAGCAGCTCCCAGGAGCGCCTGGTGGTTAGATGGGCTCTGGGTGCCTGCTCCTTGGAAATGCGCGACTGTGGTGGTGAGATTGCCGGCACAGAGCTCTGACACACTTTGAGGAGCCCTGGTGCTAAAGATGCGCAGCTGGTTGTCTGTGAGCAGTTATTCAGGAAGAGGGAATTCAGAATTTCTACTGCGAAGCAGCGCGCCCTTGTCTGTTCAAAATCACACCCAGCAGGGTTTCA